GCTTTCTGGCCCCTCCTACCCCCTTAATTTGTTAAAATAATTCTCCCTCACCCTTCCAACCAGAGAGAGGCAAAGGGAACAGACTTTCTTGAAGACACAACCTCATGGATTCTACAAAATAGCCATTTTGGGGGAACAGAAATCAAGACTTCCCACTGATAATCTGTCCTCCAGCACCCAAAACTTGCGTGGTAGGAAGACCCCTTCCAGGCCTCCTGTCTCTGTACCTGTCTTTGTGTCTCTCTACCTCTGTCTCAGTCTCTGTCTCCTCTCTTTTTATTTTTAATTTTTGGTTTTTAGAATTTCTTTTTTTGAGAATTTTTTTTTTTTTTTGCTATAGGGCACGTGTGCTTGCCAGACAGACAGAGAGAGATAGAGAGACAGAAAGTGAGAAATCACCCCCCGGGGGAATGGCCACGCTGCAATCCCTTCTCTTCCATTCTCCTCTTGGAATCTTGGGCACGCACACACACATGCCCGGCGTGAGTATAGGCCACCGGGTCTGGGACTTGAACTGCGGTCGACTACATGGGAGTCCAATGACATAGCCATTAGGCTAAGTGCTGGTCCCAACTTTTTAGAATTTTTAAAGGTAAAGCATTTTCTGTGCTTTCTGGCCTCTCCTACACCCTTGTTTGTTGAAATAATTCCCTCTCCCCTTCCCAATCCAGGAGAGGCAAAGGGAACAGGCTTTCTTGAAGACACAGCCTCATGGATTCTGCAAAATAGCCATTGTGGGAAAACAGAAATCAAGACTTCCCACTGATAATCTGGCCTCCAGCACCAAAAACTTGCGTGGTAGGAAGACCTCTTCCAGGCCTCCTGTCTCTGTACCTGTCTTTGTCTCTCTCTACCTCTGTCTCCTCTCTTTTTTAAAAATTTTTGCTCTTTAGAATTTTGTGTGGCGTGCTTGAATGCCACGTGGTTTTCAATTTTTGTTTTTTTACTGAAATTTTTAAAAATATTAATGCTTTTTGTTTTATTGAAATTTTTTTATCTTCGTTTCTTTTTGTCTTTTTCTGTTTCTTGTTTGTTTTTCTGCTGTTGCTGCTCTTGTTTCTCTATTTCTGTTTCCTACAATGCTCAGATTGAACTTCCAAGTTTGAGAAGAAACTGACCATGAACCAGATGACTAGAAATTGCTGTAGGACCACAAGAATTATGGCAAAGCAGGAAAATACCTCTCCTCCAAGGGAAAATGATAACTCCTCTTCCTCCACACACAGTTCAATGGAAGTCATGGAAATGTCTCAAGGAATTCAGAACATTCATAATGGCAAAACTAAGAGAGATGGAAGAGAAGAGAGACAATGAACTGCTGAAGAGGATGGAGAAAGAAGTTGTTGAGTTCCAGGAGTTGAGGAAATTTATGCAAGATCTAAAAGAGGCATTTCACACTTACAAAAGATTCAGATGGAACTGTTAGAGATGAAGGCTATAATACAGGAAGTCAAAATCTCCCTTGAAAGTATTAATAGCAGACTAGATAGTACAGAAAATAGAATCTCAGACATAGAAGAGAAAATTGCTAGCCTAGAAAAATCCACCACAAAAACTGAGAAAATGGCCCCAAAATTTGAGACTAATATACGAGAAATACTAGATACCATCAAATGTCCAAACATCTGGACAATAGGCATCCCAGAAGGCGAAGAGATTCATAAGGGCATTGATAATCTATTCCATGAGATCCTGCAAGAAAACTTTCCAAACCTAGAGAGCCACTCAAAGATTCAGTCCCAAGAAATACAGAGGACCCCAAATAGAATCGACCTAAAAAGATCTTCTCCAAGACACATTATAGCCAGATTGACCAAAACCACAGACAAAGACAAGATATTAAGATTGGCAAGAGAAAAATGGCAAGTTACCTAAAAGGGGTATCCCATCAGACTAACGGCAGATCTCTCATCGGAAACAATGTGAGCGAGGAAAGAATGGGAAAATACATTCAACGTGTTAAGGGAAAAGCAATTTCAACTGAGAATACTGTAACCAGCAAGAGTATCATTCATTTGGGAAGAAAAGACTTGAACATTCCCAGATAAACAAAACCTGAAAAAACTTACCAGCACCAGACCACATCTCCAAGAAGTTCTTAAGGGAGTGCTATATCAGTAAAATTAAATTCAGACTCACAGAAATAAGGGTTCAAAAACTAAGAAAATGGACAACTTAATTGTAGGGACAATGTTTGGAGATGAATATTATATCCTAGAATTCAATCTGGAAGGTCGAACCTCAACAGAAGAAAAATTAATTACATGAGATTGAACTGATGAAACAACATTCTGTGAGTTGACTAAAATATTGCTGCTTTTCTTCTAAGCTTTGTTGTCCCGTTTTAAAGGATTTTTGTCCTGTCTTGAGCTGTCAATAGGTACATGTACCTACTGTTTGAACAGAATACTAACCTGTTTCTAGGCTTTAAGTTTCAAGGAAATATCATTACCAGTTCAAAACTGCTCTTCTTGAAATTACCAGCTGAACTTGCTATTGAAAGTAGTTAGAGTACTTATGATATTATGTGATCAACAAAATGTTGGGGGAAAAGCAATGGAAGAAAACTGTATGTAGCAGAGATAGTGTAATAAGAGAGTGGGAAAGGGCAGAGGGTCAAACTTGGGGTAAAAAACATATACATATATATGAAAGTAGAAATGGAATATTATTGATGATAACATGCATGATTAAGCCACTATGCAATTTATTCTAGATGATAAGCCACATTTAGTATGTTGTGATGATGCTCAGGGAATGAAGGTTAAGAAATTAAAAAAAAATTTGCAGGAGAAAAAAACAGTAAAACTGTTCATATCAAATTAAAAAAATGCATATATGATGTCTGCAGTAAGCTATATAACCCCAGCTGGGTACTACTTTATAATATGTTATAATATGTTCATTCTACTCACTGAGGTTTATGCGTAAAGTCAGACTTGGGTTCATGTATAGGTATACATCAGCTGTGCTAGCTATTGGATATATTTAGACTAATCAAGTTCATTAGCAAATAAATTAAATGGGGAGAGGAAGGCATAGAAAGCAACCATGGATACCAGAGACAGTGTGGAAGGAGGGTGGGACATGGCAGAGGGTGAGGGATAGGGAATCAAGGATGGCAAAACAGAACGCAAAGTATACAAGACATAAGAATTGGAAAATTATTTGCTGATAACATGTATGTTGATGTGCTTGATTGAGCCAATACACAGTGCATTTTGGATGGAAAATTCATTTGTATGCTGTAATGATGTATACTGAATTAATGTAAAAAAATAAATAAATTTAACGAGGAAATAAAAAAGAAAGTGGGATCCTAGTCTTGGGAGCCTGGAAGTGGGCTGGGGGCAGTGGTGTCCAAGTCTCAAGTTTTCTTGCTGGGAAGTGGGCTATAGATCCAGTTAGCTAATTTTTAACACAGACACCAAGAACACTACTGGGTAAAAGTCTCTTCAATAAATAATGCTAAAAAAAACCCCTGTCTAGGGACCAGCTGTTTGCGTAATGGCTATGGCGCTGGAATCCCATGTAGTCGACCACGGTTTGCGTCCTGGACCCAGTGGCTTAAAACTTACGCCGGGCGCGGTTGGGGTCCAATTTTGGGCGGGAATTGAAACTGCCGCGCCTGCCAAGGATAACTGGAGAAATGGGGATTTTGAGCGTTTGAAGGTGACCATGGTTCCGCCTGCGAGACATAAGAAATCAATCAATTACTCACAGTTGGAGAACTGACAGTGATGATGATTTTGTTTCTGCAACTGTACCTTTAAGTAAGAAATCCAGAACAATAGCAAAGGAGTTGAAACACAATAAACCAAAACCTAACTTGAAGACTCTCCTGAAAGAAAACATCATACCACAAGAAAAAGCACCTAAAAAAAGGGTAGCTTTAGATGACAAGTTCTACCAGAGAGACTTAGAAGTCGCACTGGTTTTTATCAGTGAAGGAACTCCCCACAGTCACTGCTGATGTGCAGAAGTCTCAAGATGAAAGCATTGAAAAACATGGCAATAGTGAGACAAAAACGATGAATAAATCTGTTTGTATCTCTAACTGCAGTGTAGCCAGTGATCAGTTAGATTTGGATACGATTACTGAGGAGGAGGATAGTTATGGTGTTCAGAGGAAAAGAAAAACAGCATCCAAAACTGTGGTCCAACAGAGGAAGATTCTTTTGGAAAGCAGTGATGCCAATAGTCCTGATGACTCTGAACCAGACTTTGCAACTGGTGAGGATTCCAAGGATGATTCTGATTTTGGTGAGAGTGAAGATGATGTCGAAGACCTCACTGTGAGAAAAAGCAAAGTTAAAGAAATTAAAAAGAGAGAAGTGAAGGTAAAACTCCCAGTAGACAAGAAAAAAAAAGAAATCTCAATCTAGACGTAATACTTTGGTGGACTCTGCTCCTGATGTAATCAGATCAGAATCTCAGTCTTCACCAAAAAAGGCTTCTCTTTTTTCAGAGGCCACCGGGAAGCCATTACAAATGTGCAGCCCTCCAGCTGAGAGTAAGAGACCTAAGTGGGTCCCACCAGCGGCATCTGGAAGCAGCAGCAGCAGCAGCAGCCCGCTGGCAGGGATGTCCATTAAGTCTCCAAAGCAGAGTCTCCGCCTTGGCTTGTCCAGATTAGCAAGAGTTAAATCTTTGCATCCAAAAGCCTCTAGTGGCTGAGTGTGGTAGCAAAGAAATGTTCCAAAGGGTTGGTTTTGCAAGGGTGTTTATAATTGCTTGTGTTTATATTTGAGGCTATTGTAATATAAATGGAATCCTTTAACATGTTACATAAATGGTCTGTGCCCATTTTGTAATTATGTTCTCTGAAAAGCTATACAAGACTTTGGTAAGAGGTTTGTTTATAAGAATTGCCTTCTCACCATTTCCTTCTGAAGTGCATATTCTGTTTGCCTTTGTATAATAAGTCATTGTCGTTGATGGTTATCAGTTTGGCAATGAAGGACAGTCGTATCACACACACACTGTTTTTTTCCAGTAGGATGCCCTCCTCTCCAGCTTTGTCAGCTTTCTGGCACCTTAATTTGAACTACTCAGAACTCAGCTGGCAAAGGCAAGCATTCCCATTTGTTTCAGGACATTCTTCTGAAGCCTATAAGCTATGTAAGCTGTGTTGTCAGTTTCATTGCAAAGATGTTTTGACTTTAGCTGAGTGTTTTTACAATGAGAATTCAGAATTCCTTTACATGTTGAAGTGGCTGCTGTACTGTGTGGCCCATGTCTCCTGCTTGGGAATGGATGGTTACTCTGTAGCTAGTAGATTGTAATGGCATTTTATATTCTTCCTTGCCAAAAGCTTTAATAAAAGTAAAAAAGTTTTGAGATGCTCTTCTCCTTGCTACCATCACATGCACCTTAGTGTCTGCATTTTGTGATAAAATGAAAACTTGGCAGAGGATCGTAGCCTTTTTTATTGTAAATGTGAAAGGAGGGGATGGTGTTTCTGGAAGTAATCATTTTATGTTAAGCTAGTACTTTAAAGAGCAGTTGTTAAGTACTCAGATCTCTCTGTATAATATTAAATAGCATAACTTTTCAGAAAGTTTAGATTTGAATTTATTGTGATTAAAAATGATAGAGAATATATTTATGGTAAGAATTTTCAGCCAGCTCCTGATCACTTTTTAATAAAATTTCTTCAAATCATGTTAACCATTAAAAAATATATATATATATATATAAAAAACTTAGCTCAGTTCTTGGTTAATAGGAACATCTCTGTTAATGTGAAAGTAAGTAACTTAGAATTATGATTAAAGTGAGCACTTGCTGTTAAAGAAAAAAAAATACTCACACCGGGCATGTGTGCATGCATGCCCAAGATCCCGAGAGGAGAACGGAGGAGAAGGGATTGTGGCGTGGCCATCCCCCCGGGGGTTGATTTCTTGCTTTCTGTCTCTCTGTCTCTGTCTGTCTGGCGAGTGCATACACCCTATAGCAAAAACCTCTCCAAAAAAACAAAACAAAAACAAAAACAAAAACAAAAAAACCCTGTCTATTCATATACAGAAAAACAGAACTAAACCACTATCTAACATCACTTTTTAAAAATCAACTAAAAATTAATTCAAGATTTAAACGTAAGAACTAGTAATATGATACTACTAGAAAAAACATACAGGAAATATTTCTTGACATTGGTCTGGGCAAGGAGTTTTTGGAAAAGGCCTCAAAAGCATGGGCAACAAAAACAAAAATAGGCAAATAAGATTACATTAAGTTAAAAATCTTCTGGGGCCAGATGAATGCTTAGCAGTAAAACATGATGCTATGTGAGTCTGACCTACATGGTAAGGCTCTGGGTTCTTATCAGAAGATCTCCTAATCACACTAGGCATGATGTGCTCATGATCTGAGGCTGACTGGAGCTTCCCATTATTGTGATATCAATGCCCTGTTAGGGGTGCCTGTTTCTTTCTCTCTCATTCTCTCTCTCTCTTTCACACACACATGCACACACATACACACACACTCATGGAAGAAATAAATAAATCAACTTTTAAAATAAATGAATAAAAAGCTTCTGTACTATGAAGAAAATAATTAACAGAATGAAGACATAAATTACAGAATGGGAGAAAATATTTACAAACTATATAGCCAACAATGAGTTATTATCCAGAATATATAAGGGACTCAAATAACTCAATAGCCAAAAAAGAAATAATCTAATATAAAAGTGGGCAAATGACTTGAATAGATATTTCTCAAAAGATTCCTCAAAGATCTACAAATAGAACTACCTTGTGACCCAGCAATCCCACTCCTTGGTATCTACCCAATTAAGAATTCTTAATTGGAAAAGCGCTTGCACATTGATATTTATTGCAGCACTATTCACAATTGTGAAGACATAGAACCAACCTAAATACCCATGAATAGATGAATGGATGGAAAAACTGTGGCACAGATACTCTATGGAATACTACTCAGCCATAAAAAACAAGACCCTGGACTTTGACAAAAAGTGGAGGAATATGGAAGACTAACTCCAAGAAAAGAAAGCCAGGCTACAAAGGAGAGACATTGTATGCCTCTACTTAATAATATGCCAAGTGTCAGCACTCTATGACTGAAACTGAATGACTAAAGGATATAGAAACATAGTAAATGGTTGGGAAGACCAGATACAGTATGGGAAGAGGGTGGGTAAAGGAGTAGAGTCTGAAGAAAGATATTAAGGAGAAAAATAGAGAGGCAAAGCTTTTATGGTACAAAGAAATGGGTTATTATCTGTTGAAAATAATTTTATAGCATTGTTAACTGGTCTGATGAGAAATGTACACATGTTGAAATAGTCTCTTTCCAAGCTAAATAACATGATTAAATGTATAAAAGAAATTGAAATAAGAAAAAAAAATATTTTAGGGACCAGCAGATAGTCTGGTTGTTTAAGGGTGCTGGATCCCACATGGTCAATTCTGTGGTTCAACTCTCAGACCTGGTGGTTTGGAAAAGGAGTTTGAAAAACAAGGAGTTTTTAGGTGCATGTACATGTGCACCTAAAATATCAGAAAGAATGGAGGAGAAAAGATTACAGTGTGGACATACACCTGGGCATGATTTCTCACTTTCCCTCTCTCTGTCCCTCTCCAGTGAGTTCACATACCCTATGACAAAAATCTAAAAAGAATTTATGATTTGAAAAATACTGGATAAGAGGAAACATACTCATGTTATAAATCAAATAAAGGAATTATAGGTTACAACATTAAAAAAAGATATGTGAATGGGATTACAATTTCAAAATAAATCTAATGCAGTGGGCTCTACTGGTAGCCTTGTGGTTAAGAGAACTGGATCCCATGTTATCAAATACACAGTTTGAATTCCTTTCCCAGTAGCTTGACAAACACACCAGGCATAGGTGCATATGTGCCTCTAATCCTGATAGGGTGAAAAAAAGGAGGAGGAGAAATTATTTTGTGACCATGCCCCACCAGTTTGCATGCTTTCTCCTTTTCTCTTTCTCTGTTCCTCTCTGGAGAGCACTTGAGCCTTCTGGCTTGTAAACAAAAAATATTAAAAATAGATATATAAAATAAACCTAACAGGTCAAGTCTTTTTTTCAGAGATTAAAACAGATCTTAATTTCTATAATTAAGCATCCACTGATGTTGTTGGCTTGATTTAGAGAGATATGTTGCCTCTCGAGTAGAAGGGAACACAAGATGAAGCTCTAAACACTATGGTTACAGGGCCTATGGAGAAAAATGATGATTTAATGTCTCTTTCTAATGCTTACCTTGGAACACATGTGGTAGGAGAAATGTCTGTCACTAACATTTATTAGGTCATTGGGAAACTTATGACATATTTTTCGATGCAAAAACAATCCAATAATTTATTTTTTTTCCATTTAGAGAGAAAGGCTGTGCATAGATAAGAAATATCAATTTCCGTCAACCAGTTTTTCAGTTTATGATTTCTTTTTAAAAAAATTTATTTATTTATTTATTTTTATTTACATTTTTAATACATTCAATCACATTGTTTAGCTTACAAGGTGATCATTTCAATATATGAACATTTCTCTCCAGTCGAGTTGATCAAAATATAACACTACCTCCATGTTTCAACAATGCTGTCTTCGCATCTCTCCTCCAAAAGTTTTTACCCAGGCCCCACTCCTCCACACACACCACATCTGGCATTCACATCCACCTCTTGTGTTTGTACATCCTTTAGCCTTTCAGTTTCAGTTATAGAATATGGACATTTGGCATATAATAAGTGGGGACATACAGTGTCTCTCCTTCATAGCCTGGCTTGCTTCACTCAGCAGTAAATCTTCCATATTCTTCCACTTTCTGTCAAAAGCCAGGGTTTTGTTGTTCTTAATGACTGAATAGTATTCCATAGAGTATATGTGCCACAGTTTTTCAATCCATTCATCCATACGGGGGCATTTGGGTTGGTTCCATGCTTTAGCAATCATGAAAAGTGCCGCAATAAACATTGATGTGCAAGCACTTTTCCAATGAGAAATTCTTCTGTCCTTTGGGTAAATGTCAAGAAATGGGATTGCTGGATCATATGGAAGTTCTATTTGTAGATTTTTGAGGAATCTCCACATTGTTCTCCACAGTGGTTGGACTAATTTACATTCCCATCAGCAGTGTAAGACAGCAGGGTAAAAGAGTTCCCCTTTCATCACCCCTCCCACCAACACTTATCATTTTTTTTTTTTTTGACCTTAGCCATTCTGATTGCAGTTAGTTGGTATCTCATTGTGGTTTTGATCTGCATTTCCCTTACGATGAGGGATGTGGAGCATTTTTTCATATGCCTTCTGGCTACTCATGTGTCATCTTTAGTGAGCATTCTTTTCAACTTCTTCTCCCATCTTTTAATAGGGTTCATCGTCTTTTTTCCAAACAACTTCTTTAGTTCCTTATGTATTCTGGTTATCAATCCCTTATCTGATGCATAGTTTACAAAAATATTTTCCCATTCTGAGGGCTGTCGATTCACACTAATTACTGTGTCTTTTGCCATGCAGAAACTTCTTAGTCTGATGTAATCCCACTTGTCTATTTTGGGGATTATCGACTGTGCTTTGGGGGTCTTATGTAAGAAGTCTTTCCGTACTCCAATGTCTCCCAGAGTTTCCCCAGTGTTTTCTAGAAGCAGTTTAATATTTGGGGGTCTTAGATTTAGATCCTTGATCCACCTTGACTTGATCTTTGTCAAAGGTGACAGGTAGGGGTTCAGATTCATCTTTCTACAGGTGGTAATCCAGTTTTTCCAGCACCATTTGCTGAAGAGGTTTTCCTTTTCCCACTGGATTGACTGGTACCCCTT